GAATGAACTTGCCCTGGTCTCATGACTACTACAGACTGGAGCTGGGGTTCTGGGGGTTTTCTGCCTCTGTATTGTTACTGATTCTCCTTTGCTTGGAAGGCCCATGTGGTCACTCTCAGATACACTGTTCTGGGAAGAACAGACTTGAGCTGTGCATATGTGGGCATACACACTGAGGCTGCTGGTCCTACTGAGACTGGATGCTGATGCTGGATGAGGGACATGTGGGAAATGGAATGAAATAAAGCAATGGTTGCAGCTTGCACGGGATTCAGAAAATCTCCAGGTCATGTGTAAAGTGCTGTATATGGGGGCAGTCATCCTGGGTCCAGAACATTTGAGTGTTCTGAGGACAGAGGGCAGGATGGGGCTGGTTCCTGTACCTGACCTCTGACACTTTGTTGGAACCCAGAATTCCAAGTGTTCCTAAGGGAAGCACTTCCACTTTCCCTTGGGACCACACTAGTTTGCAGAGGGGCTGTGTCCCTGTGTCATCTGTGTTGGGAGCTGACTCACTGGAAGGAGATGGCATCTGGCCTCGTCAAGGGAACCTCAGCACTTTGCTCACATGGTGTGAGCTCAGGAATTTGCTAGAATTCTGATCCAGCGGAAAACCATCTTGTTGGGCTGGAGAGACAGTTCAGCCGTTTAGTGCAAGTACTGCTCTCCCAGAGGACCTGGGTTCAGTTCCCAGCACCCACATTACGTATCTCACAACCATCTGTAACTCCAGCTCCGGGGGACTCAACACCCTCCTCTGGACTCCTTGGGGACCAGGCATATGATACATGATGGCAAAGTACTCATACAATTTAAAAAAGGTCAGAGAGAGAGAGAGAGAGAGAGAGAGAGAGAGAGAGAGAGAGAGAGAGAGAGAGAACCAAAACCTTTATCTTTTTCTTGGTTATTCTGTTCTCAGTCCCCGTGAGTGTTGAGTATGTATGTACCGCTGTCTGCAGGGAAGGGTCCTGGTGATACAGATCAGGGACTTTCAGACCTCAGGGACCTGTGTCTGCACACCTTTCTCTGTGTCCCTGGTGCAGGATGTGCAGCTCACACAAACCCAGTCGAAGTGGAAAGGATGGTGGCCATGCTTCTGAGTGGCTCTGTCATCAGTGAGGTAGCTGGAGACGGCAGAGACAACCTTGCTCAAGGTCACCTTGAGCAAACAGGATAGAGACGCAGTGGAAACGAATGGGAAATAGCACACTGGTCAGCAGCAAGGAGGAAGATAACCCGGGGGAAGTGGGCTGACGCACTGACGGTTCTGAAAGGAACACCCAGAATCTTTCAGGGTGTCTCTGTCCAGAGTCTAGTTCAGTTAAAACCTTACCACGTCACCTTCCCTTCCAAACCTAGGCTTCTGAGCTGGACACATGCCTGTAATCCTAGTACTCAAGAGACTGAGGCAGGAGGATTGCTGTAAATCTAAGGCCAGCCTGGGCTACATTGTGAGTAGTAGGTCAGCTAGGGCTACACAATAAGACCCTGGCTCAAAAAACAATCAGAAAGAGAAACGGAAAAGAGGCAAGTGGTGTTCTTGGTAGTGTACAGCCTACCTCCCCATGCTGCTCTAAACAGACCCCTCCTGAACCAACCAAACAAAACAGAAACCTTAGGCTTGTCAGCATCTCTTCCACTGGCAGTGGCTGGATCATTTTCTGCTCAAGGTTTGGGCAGGAGAGCGGGAGGGGAAGAAACGTGGCTGTGATAGCTGGGTCAGAGCTGGAGCTTAGGAAGCAAACACACCAGTGTTCTGTGCCTTTGATGGAGCTGTCAGTGCCAAGGTCAGAGACTGGAGGAATGTAGGCTGTCTGTTATCTCATGAATATTTATTGAGCACCTCCTTTAAGCTGGCCCTGATTTAGGTGCTGGGATTCCTTTGTTGAATCCTGGCTTTGTCACTCACTGCTGAGGTCACCCGAGGGCAGAGCCCTGACCTCCCCACCCTGAAGATGAAGACGCTAAGAGTTTTTGTCTCACAGGGATGTTTAGGAGGAATCGAGCAAACACACGGAAGGTACTACAAAAGGCACTCTGCTCATGACCAGCCCTGTTACAGGAGATAAAGGGGAGTCAGATGTGAACAACATCTGGTCTCTGACTGCAAAGAACTCAGACTGTGGGGACTTTTAACAGTCACACCAAAGCATGAGGGGTATGGGAGAAGTGGGAACTTCCTCCTGGAGAGACAGCATGTGACAGCCAAAAGAGAATCCTCTAGGAGTTTGAAACCAAGAGAACATCCAGGAAAAGGGGTCAGGTAGTGTAAGGAGCAGTTTCCAAGGTAGTGAGCCAAGCTCCAGAACCCAGTGGAAGGATGCCCTGTAGGGTATGTGTAAGTCTATTCGAGGGAGTCTGGATGTGGTGCTGAGGAGGTGATAGGCATCCTGGAGGGGTGAATGGGAGCTACCTATGTCCCTGGTGATTGGCACAGTAGCTTTGGGCATCTTGGGGATGGATTAGGGAGGCAAAGGCACCATGGTTGTGTTGCTGTGGAGGGTGGGGCTGAACCTCATGGTGACCCAGGCTGGAGGATACAGTAGTGTCCTATAAAGGTAGAGTTGTCTGAGAGGATCCCCCTAGAGTGTGAAAGGAACGTTGTGGAAACTGAGGTCTTGTGCCTGGGGGAGTTTCAAAGCAGGTCTGTTGTGTGTATGGAGGCAAGCCAGTGTGCATGGGAATGCAACACCTTTGATGTAGAATGTGGTGAGTGTGAAGAGCTGCAGTTCATCCCTGTGGCATTGGGTTCTTGAGCTCAGGATGGCTCAGCAGGATGAATGGCGAGGCTCACACTCCCAGCAATGCTCGTGGTCCAAGTTTATTGAGTGAAACAGACAAGTCACACACTGATGGGCTTTGTGCTATTTTCTAGTGGTAAGAGACAGAGCCCATGTGGTTCCAGACAGTGTCCAAAGGAAACAGCAGTGGCTTTGTGAGGATAGGGGCTTCTATTTATGTATGTATGTATGTATGTATGTATGTATGTATGTATGTATGTATGTATATATGTATGTATGTATTTATTTATTTGTGTGTGTGTGTGTGTGTGTGTGTGTGTGTGTGTGTGTGTGTGTGTGTGTAGACAGGGTCTCATGTTGCCTTGCCAAGTCTCAGGCTTGCTATGTATTCAAGGATGATCCTGAAGTCCAATCCTCCTTCCAAATGCTGGGATTATAAGTGCATATTGCCATGCCAACCCTGGGGTTATGTTAGATGAGTGGTCGGCAGCAACCTCTTCACAAAAGTGACATTTGAGGGGACCAGAGTCAAAGAAGGACTGTGTGTAAGACTATCTGAGGGTAGGAGCATCCAGGGCACTGGGAACCCCAGGTACAAAGGCCCTGGGGGTGGGAACAGCTTGACAGATGTGAAGGTGAGGTAGAAGACCACTCTGGTGGTGGTCAGACTGGACAGTCCCCCTTCCTGCCAGAAGGTGGCAGTGTTGTCTCGGGACTGCCTGCTCACTTGGTGGCTAGTGGGGATGTCTAGAGCTAGTCCCATTGGTGACCAGGAACCTGAGCTGTCAGAGGTTTTACCCTGTCTTTGAGAAGTGATCAGTGTGAAAGTTCTGGCTAGGGCAGATGAGTACACCACAGATCTTGTTTGCGACATTCCTTGCCTGCCTTCCCCACACCCTCTCCACTGGAGTATCTGTCTTTTCTTCTCTGTGTCTTCACCCTGCTCCCCGCCCTCTGTCTTCCCTCTCTCTCTCTCTCCATTGCTCCCTGGTGCAGCTGGCTTCCATCTCAAAGATAATTACTTGCTTTCCTGCGCCGCTCAGATGACAGGGACTGTTCTTACCCCAGTGCCTGGTCCTCTTCCCAGCGGCTTCTGTTCTCTGTTAAAGCCTGAGGCTCATCTCCCCCCCTCCCCATCTGAGGACTGCCCCTCCCCCCACTGTCATTCACCGCTCTCCTCCGGCACTCCAGCAAGTTCTTGTCTTTGACTGGGGCGACTAGAGTCTGTGCTGAAAAGGGAGATCCACACAGCAAACAGGCACAGCCAGGAGACGGCTTCTCTGCCCTACACTCTTTGGTCCCTGTCCCCCTTCTTTGGGGGCATTGAACCCAGGACCTCACACATGCTAAGCGCATACTCTACCACCCATGAACTTGCAGTGGAGACTAAGCTGATGAGATCCTGGTGCCAGCCAGGCTGCAGGTTGAGGAGGCCTTGGCTTTGGTCTGTGGATTGCACCATGGTGGTTAAGAGCCCAATTTACTGTGGTTTGGTTAAAACCAGTGGACTAGTGATGATGGGCTAGTGACATGTGCCCTGGGATTCTCTTTACAATGCTGGGCAAATGCTGCCAGCCACAGCCCCATGACCTCAAGGACTAACTCTGGGCATTCTACAATGTGTTGCTGAGCAGGGTTAGGCAGGCTCAGCACATTTCAATGTACAATATTTTCAGCTTTCACTGTGTTTGCTGGGATGTAACCCTGTCCTCAGCTGGGAAGTGTCTGAATTTTATTTTATTGTGGTAAGGATGCTTAACATGAGATCCACCCTCCTAATTGATATCCAAGTACACTCACTATCCATTATTCTTGACTATAAGTAAGAGTTTCTTTTGTGTGTGTGTGGGAGGGGTGTGTGTGTGTGTGTGTGTGTGTGTGTGTGTGTGAGAGAGAGAGAGAGAGAGAGAGAGAGAGAGCATGCGTGCTTGTGCATGTTAGGTGGAGTCCAGAGGTCAACCTTGGGTGTTGATACTGAAGAGCTGAGTACCTCAACTTAAAAAAAAATTTATTTCTTAGTTGTATGTATGTGGGTGTTTTGCCTGCATGTGTGTCTGTGCACCACATTCATACAGTGCCCATAGAGCCAGAAGAGGGCATTGGATCCCCTGGAACTGGAGTTACAGACTGTTGGGAGCCATGTGGTTGCTGGGAGCCAAACCTGGATATTCAGGAAGAGCAGCCAGTGCTCTTAACTGCTGAGCCATCTCTTCAGGTCACACCTTGATTTTTTTTTTTCCTTCGAGACAGGGTTTTTTTTTCCTCTGTGTAGCCCTGGCTGTCCTGGAACTTACTCTGTAGACCAGGCTGGCTTTGAACTCACAGGGAGCCACCTGCGTCTGCCTCCTGAAAGCTGGGATTAAAGGCATGTTTACACCATGCCTGGCCCCACCTTGATATTTTTGTTTGTTTGTTTTTGGCCGTTCTCCAACTTTATTTGACACTCAGCAGGTTAGTTCTCCTCCACATTGACTGTCTATAGATTTTAGAATGTGGTAACAGGTACATAAGTTACCAATGTGTAGAGCTCGTTTGGTGAGTCCCCATCCTCATTAGATTTTCTGGACAAATGTACACAGATATGGTATGGAACATTCCTTATTCCTTTGGCCCAGACGGCTTTATTGAGCCTGATATCAATACGCACATCTGGACTCCCCATCTCCTTCCTGGCAAATTTCCAGATTTCTTTGAGTACCCTAGGGGCACACTTCTTGAATCCCACTCTATGAATGCACTTGTGAATGTTGATGGTGTACTCTCTGGTCACCACCTGGTTGGTGGCAGAACGGCCCTTTTTCTCACCCCCCTTCTTTGTGGGTGCCATCTAAGTGCAGGTGACAGGGAGGCTTGGAGGCTTCCGCCGGGCCCAAGTTGGAAAGCCCACCTTGATTTTTTTTAAAGACAGGGTCTCTCATTGGAACCTGGAACTTGTCAATTATGCTGGGTGGCTAGCTTGTGAGCTCCTGGGATTCACTTGTTTCTGCCTCTCCCAACTGGATTCCAGATGTGCACCACCATGTCTGGCTTTCTGTGTGGATGCTGGGGATTGAACGCAGGGCCTCATGCTTTTGCAGCAAGGGTTTTACCAACTGAGCCATCTCTCCAGCTCTTGCCCCACCCCTGTCTCTCGACTGAGGACTGAAGCCAGAGTCTTGTGCATGTTAGACAAGAACTTTACCACGGAGCTGAATCTTCATTCTCGACGTGCCTTTTTATTTTGAGACAGTACCTCCATGAGTTGCTCAGGCAGGGCTTTGTGACTCTCTTGCTTCAGCCTTCTGACTGGATGGGATTATAGGTCTGTACCACCAAGTCTGGTGCGCCTTCTTCTGAGTGGCAAGTCCAGCTTATTGGTGGAAGTATTAAGGCAACTCCATGTAGTTAAAAGGGAGGCTTATTTTGTGGGGTAACTTACAAGCAAAGGGAGAGGTTACAGGGAGAGGTGGAGTGCAGTCCAGCGGTGTTCTCTGGAGAACTCTGCTCGGTCTACTTCCAGTGTCCAGGATTCAGAAACCAAGAGAGGCGGTACATCCGGATCTCAGGTCTTAAGGGCTCCTGTCTCAGCCCCACCTCGTAGGCATAACAGTTACCCAAAGCCTCAATGGGGGTAGTACTTCCAGGTCAAAGCTGGAACAGCTACCCACTACACCAGCTCCTTTTCTTGCCACAGACCCTGGGCACATGGGTTAAACTTTTTCTTGCCTTCTTCATTTGTAAAATGGGGATGATGATAATGGTAATTTCCACATGGGTCGTTCAAAGTGTTTTAGATATACATGATAAGAGGTGATAAAATTATATGTTACTATTGAAATATTTATCAATTGATAATATATTTATGAAGTATTAGTTTACTCTATTACAGCAGTATAATAGCAATACATTATCATTTAATGAGTTAATTTATTATTATTAATGTGTATATGTGTGTGTGCATTTGTGGTGTATGTAGGCACATGCAGGCATGCTCACCCATGCTGGTGTGTTTGGAGCCAGAGGTTGATGTCAGGTATTTCCTCTATCATTCTCTATCTTGTTTGTTGAGACAGGGTCTCTCATTGGCCTTGTTGGTTGAGACAGGGTCTCTCATTGGCCTTGTTTATTGAGACAGGGTCTCTCATTGGCCTTGTTGGTTGAGACAGAGTCTCTCATTGGCCTTGTTGGTTGAGACAGGGTCTCTCAGTGGCCTTGTTGGTTGAGACAGAGTCTCTCATTGGCCTTGTTGGTTGAGACAGGGTCTCTCATTGGCCTTGTTAGTTGAGACAGGGTCTCTCACTGGCCTTATTGGTTGAGACAGGGTCTCTCACTGGCCTTATTGGTTGAGACAGGGTCTCTCATTGGCTGGGAGCTTGCTAATTAAGCTGTACTGGCTGGTTAGAGACCTCCCAGGATCTGCCTGTCCCTAACCCCCAGTGCTGGCATTTCAGAATATGTTGCTGTGCCTGGCTTTCATGTAAGCTTGCCATCTCCCCAACCTAATGTATGGTTTATTCTATGTCATGGCATGGAAGAGTTAGACTTCAGAAACATGTGACTGTCATAGTCTAATGGAGTTTGTTGGTCTGTCTAGAAAACAGACCCAAGACAGTTGATCCCAGCAGAACTTGCCTTCCCATACCAGTGCTATGCACAAAAACCACTAGCCATGTGAGTCAGGCTATGCCCTCACAAGAAGGGTAAAGTGAGCCAAACAGCCCTGGTCACAGACCTGCCCTGCATCACCGGAGAACCATTTGTAAGTCTGTGCTGACTAGGCCAGTGAGTGCCAAAGGGGACTCTGTGGACACTTGTGAGAATTCGGGTTCCTGGGCTTTCTTAGTTTGGGTTTCTATTGCTGCAACGAAACACCATGGCTCAAAAAGCAACTTGGGGAGGGAAGGGTTTAGTTGGCTCACACGTCCACAGTGCTGTGAACACATCACTGAAAGAAGTCAGGACAGGAACTCAAGCAGGACAGGAGCCTGGAGGCAGGAGCTGATGCAGAGGCCGTGGAGGGGTGCTGCTTACTGGCTTGCTCCACATGGCTTGACCAACCTGCTTTCTTTTTTTTTTTTGGTTTTTCGAGACAGGGTTTCTCTGTGTAGCTTTGCGCCTCTCCTGAAACTCACTTGGTAGCCCAGGCTGGCCTCGAACTCACAGAGATCCGCCTGGCTCTGCCTCCCGAGTGCTGGGATTAAAGGCGTGCGCCACCACCGCCCGGCCCAACCTGCTTTCTTATAGAACCCAGGACCACCAGTCCAGGGAGGGCACCATCTACCATGGGCTGGGCCCTCCCCCACTGATCACTAACTGAGGAAATGCCTTACAGCTGGATCTCATGGAGGCATTTCCTCAACTGAGGCTCTTTTCACTGATGACTCTAGCTTGTGTCACACAAACCAGCTAGCACATGGGCTTTGCTCTGAACTGAGCAGGAATTCAGAGGGCTCTGCACCCTTCATCATGGTTAGGGGCTGGAAACCCTGCATGTTGGTGGGTTTCACCTGGGCATCACTCATCCTGTTCATCTGAAGGATGGCAGCTTGCCCCACATTGCCCTGGTCTTGAGATCAGGTTTGACTGTATGTGAGGAACTGGCGGGGAGCAGTCTCAAACTCATCTAAAGCCACTCAGCCTGTCTCCAGCCATGGGTAAATGAACTGACCCTCTAACATTAACAAAGTAGCATTAACTTAAAAGTAACACTTAGGTTCCTTTGTGTTTCTCATCCCCAGAAACACCTCTGCAACCACTGCTTTTGACACAAATTTATTTCCACAAGGACACGTGCCAGGCCTGAAAGAACTAGCCTAAAGAATTTGGATTTATGTCTCTAAGATTACTGCTAAATATACCCACAATGCCATTGAGAACATTGTCATCATGCTGACTGGGCTGTTTATTTATTTATAACTTTACTTTGAACAGTAGATGTATTTATATGGTTCAAACCCAAAGTGATATAAAGATAGATGTGGTGGGAACACTCACTTTTATTCTAGTCAACCCAACCCCATCTCTCCCTTCTTGAGCTCATTTATGACGCTCTTCCCAGCACATATTGGTATAAAATATGAATAAAATTTTTTTTTAGCTCACTTTCTTACATACAAGGAAGTGGTCCACACAGCACAGCTTTGCATCTTGATCAGGAATGTGGCTTGAGAATATTCTCACGTCTGTCCACTCACAGCTGCAAATGCCCTCTCCCCCGCCTCCAGCCTGCTTTTGAAACCATTGTGTAGTATTTTTACTATGCGGATTTACTTTTCAAGACTGATTATTTCTTGCATTGCTGGGGATTGAACTCAGGGCCTCATGTATGTTAAATGAGTTCTTTACCGTGGAGTCATACCTCCCCTGGGACTTGAGAATGCTTTTAAGAAATTTAACTTGACATTATGGAAGTTGTGGAAAAATGCATCCTCCTAAGCTGTCATGCAAAATGCAAACCATACTACATCGGATATGACCTTGCATACAGGGAAAGGGAGACAAGAAGTGGTCTTTGGGAGGCTGATGATGATGGCTTGGAGCCATGAGTTCAGATGAGGATGTGCAGCATATCTAGACCCCCCATTTTCCTTGAAAAGAATCAAGACATTATAAGCAAAGTATCCTATGTCTTCACTGTCAGATGTGGCCTCTCTTCCCCAGAGGAGCCACTGTTCAGAGTTTGGTACATATTTTTCTGGTTGTCTTTGGGCCCTTTGAGTTTCTTCTGCTTGTGACTGTCCAGATGCGCACAGTCCTTTGGAGGTCCTGAGAAAGGACCTTAAGATAGGAAAGGCCTTTTTTTTTGTTGTTGTTGTTGTTGTTTTGTTTTTCAAGGCAGGGTTTCTCTGTGTAGTTTTGGAGCCTGTCCTGGATCTCGCTCTGTAGACCAGGCTGGCCTCGAACTCACAGAGATCTGCCTGGCTCTGACTCCCAAGTGCTGGGATTAAAGGCATGCACCACCGCCGCCTGGCAAGGAAAGGCCATTTTGTGTAGGTTTTTTATCTTTGGTTCTGTGTCCCCCTTCCCCCACCCTCCAGACTCATCTGTGTGTGTCTGGAGAAGGGCTACTCTGCATTTTACACCTAAGAACTCAGACTAGGAAAGGGACAGCTCTGGGCCAGAAAGTGGTTTTGCCACCTCCTGGCCCAGTGTTCTCTGCACACCTATCTGCTGGGCTGTAGACCGCATCTCTGCTGCTGTGTACATGCCTGACCCTTTGCAGAAACATACATGCACGTGCAGATTTAAGGGTAAGTACAAGCAAGGAAAACACATATTTATTTATTTATTTATTGGTTTTATGAGACAAACTGTAGTCTGTCCTGGAACATGTGATTCTGCTGCCTCAGCCTCCTGAGTGCTGGGGTTATAGGTATAAGCCTTCTTGCTGGATTTTTAAAAAAAAAAAAAACTTGTGTGTGTATGTGTCATGTGCATGTGTGTGTTTTTGTGTGTATGCAAGTACCCATGTGTGTGTGCCAGAGGTAAGAGGTAGATAGATGCCTTCTTCAACAGCTCTTCACATTCTTTTCTCCCCGCCCCCCCCCCCTTTTTTTTGAGTCTAGGTTTCTCTATGTAGCTCTGGCTGTCCTGGAACTAGCTATGTAGACCAGGCTGGCTGTGAACTCAGAGAGATCCTCCTGCCTCTGCCTTCCGAGTATTGGGATTAAAGGCATGTGCCACCATCCCTGGCTTCCACCTTATTTTTTGAGACAGGGCCTCTCATTGAATCTGGACTTCGCAGCTTCGGCTAGACTTTCTGGCCAGCAAGCTTCAAACTAGTTCCAGTCATTTCTGCCTCCCCCACACCGGGATTACATGCTGTGTACCCAGCTTTTCATATGGGTG